TTGAAAACTTGTTGCAGAATATTATTATTATTATTATCATTATTGTCGTTGATGTTCTTTATATATGCTTTGTGTAATACCACTTGTCTGCAAGTCTCACCCAGAGACTTTAAGACAAAACAATAGTTTCGTATCAGAAGATGCAAACAGAAGATGCGTCATGCAATCATCTATGAAAGATGTGAGAATTACCCATGATTATATAAACTGTTTTGCAATGTACATGTTTTATATTTACAGGAAACCTTGATTCACATATTTGTTTCATTCATGCCATATCATCCTCGGTAAAAACAGGTAATGTTTTCGTTTTAAGATACCATTCTACTGATTTCTATCTAAAGATTCTATTGTATTTACTTAGATTCTAAGTCTTTTCAAAGATGTGTTTTTGTCGTCTGTGACTGTAACGTTATATTATTATTATTATTATTATTATTATTACAATAAGGTTACTGCCAGTTGCGTGTATCTCTGGACTTAGAAAGCAATATTTCAACTTGCTCTTTTAGCCATTTTCTATTCAGACCCTATTTTTAAACAGAATAGTCACTTGTATTCTCAAGTGTCAACAAGTATCTTTGCTATCTCTTTGCTCACCAATTTAAGTCTGGAGTGAGTCAAGATAGTTCATGTAAATATGCGTGCCAAAAAGAGAGAGAGAGAGAGAGAGAAAGAGAGAACGAGAGAGAGAAAAAGAGACTTTATTTCTTTTTGCCCCATAAAAGTCGAGAAAAGCTTTTACAGGAGCAAGAAATGTTTATTTTCCGGTTTGAAAGCGACACCGTAGTGTGCACACTACTCGAGTAAATTTCTAACCCCGCAATGATAACGGATACAAAATGGCTGCGAAGGAGATGTTTGTTTTAGCTCCTTTATATTCAGAGTTGAAATTATTTATAGACCTTTTCTTGATTAAACAGAACGATTCAACAACTGTGAAAAGATCTGTGCTGCCAAAGCGGTGAGCAAAAAGAATATAATTATTTAGAATATTGTCACATGGCCGATCAGTCATACATAGAAAAATATATGTTAAATAAAAATAATATTCATCACAGAAGACATTGTCTTGAACCAAATCTGATATATTTTATGCCAACACACATACATACAGACAAACATATACACGCACATACAAACACAAACACATATATATATATTAATGTAAACATCGCGTTGTTTTTGTTCGTCCTCTATAATCATTAAATATGTCATCATGGTAGTTTGTTTTAAATTGTTGCTTTCCAAATAATACGAGAATAGAAATAGAGACGAACATTTCAGATTGGCTGAGTGTCAATATGAGGACAGTGCGGGTGACTCTGAAAGAGTTAAATGATATATCTATGCCTCCATTCATCTTCACATAGGATGTAGGCCTCAGCACGGAGGCTTACATCAAGTGACCGGAAGAGGTAGTACTGCCCTGTTTCCAGAGGGTGGCTGCTGGAAGACCCTGCACCATAACACACAAGCAGAAGTAATGTCTGTGAGACAATTTATGCTACCACATCACACCTTATATCTGGCCGCTCATACATTTTAATTATTGTAAGGGTCAGAAATACATGAACTTCGGGCACTTTATGCACAATTTTGAACGTGATTCACAATACTTTATTCAAAAATTGACAATATACAATAATAACTTAAACAGACAGACTTTGTTGGGTTTTTAAAAATCAAACCGGTTTTATATATTATATATATATATATATATATATATATATATATATATATATATATATATATATATGAAAGTGAACATTGAAGTCAACACTTAGAGGCGACAGTCTGTTTCATGCTTGACGCAGTCGTCAGGCCTGACGATTGCGTCTAGCGTGAAACTGACGGTCACCTCTAAATGTTGACTTTATATTTACACACGCTCTATCTCTGATATTGAACACACGTGTGTGTGTGTGTGTGTGTATATATATATATATATATATATATATATATATATATATATATATATATATATATATATGCATACGGATATTTAGGTCAGACTAGATTAAACTAGTCATATAAAGAGACTAAAATATATAACTATTAAAGATCTATGAGGATTGAATAGATCTGAACAGAACGATTTTGCTATAAACACGGATAGCCCCGGATATGAATATATTTTAATATGCACGAGCTGAGATAGATGTGGCTAGACTGGAGAAACCTCTACCAATACTAAAACATTTTAAAAGATTTATTTCCAGCATCAAGGCTACAGATAAAATATTTTGAATAGCAGCCGACATAACATCACTTTGGATCATCAACTCCATGATGTTGACACTAGAAATCCTACAAAGTTGGCAGATTTTAGATATTAATTTTACCCCAATTAGGAAAATAGGTTATTCTGTTGTTTTCTTATAACATGATCTTCTTTCATTCATGGTTCAATTACAATTTGGGACGCATATTACCCCATCGAATGCATTTGCACATGTATAAGTCTACCATTTGTCCATGCTTAGAGTATTAATGCGATACCCCTGCTACTTACCTTGAGCTCCTTGATAAAATCCAAAGAAAATCAGCAATATTATTGGTCCTTATCTGGCATCTCGGCTTTAGTCTCTTTCCGACCACCGCAAGGTTACCTTCTTGTGCCTTTTCTAGAAATGCTTTCAATGAAGTTGTTCGGATGAGTCATTTGCTATGTTACCGAGACTTTTAAAATTTAAGCGCTGTTTTAGATTGGCGTCAAGATCTCATCAGTTTAGACTTGAGCTGGATAGATGTAACGGTAAGTGCTATGCTAACAATTTCTTTTCTCGGAATTTTTGCTTGTCGAAATTCTTTCCGGCTCCATGGTCTCCAGGCAAGTTTAATCTGCAAAAATATAAATGCAATCACAATCGCTATCTACTGTCCTCCTGATTGCTCGTTTCTCTTTCCGCTTATTAATAATCTTTCTATTCCTAACCACTATTCCTTCCAAACCTAGTAACCCCTTGTGTCTTAGTGGTTTTAATGTATCGAGTGATACCAATTAATATATATATATATATATATATATATATATATATATATATATATAAACTTTTTACCGATTAAATATCAAGTGTATCTTCTGAAGTGTCATTGATGCTTTTTTTATTTGGCTTATGTAGTTAGTAGGTTGATTTTATTTCTAGCATACTCAAATTCCATTAGATGTTCCATTTAAATACAAACGATTTTAATTTTCAGTCGCATTCACTTCTTTTTGACAATCAGAAAGACCCAATGATGGTCTATTAAGATAGATAATCTCTATTTTACTTTCGCATGTTTTTTCAGTAACTATGTACATTTTGCTTGTTCTTAGTTTTGACGCATAAAAAATATTTTCATATTATTACGATTATTGTACATTTTGTCAAACGAAGGGAATACATTGTGTCTTTTGTTTTGTGCGTGGAAATATTTATTTAGAATTACCTACATTTTCCGCCATAGACAAAAAAGTCTTTTTGTTTGTTGGGCAGTTAATATATTGAACAAAATGTCTTTCATCTGTGTTGCAAATTTGAATGTATTGTCCCACCCCGGGAAATATTGGGTCTTCTTGCTAGTAATACAAATACAGAATGTGAGATAGATACAGATAGATTGCAAGAGATAAATAACGGATGTTGCACTCAGTGATTACATTTTAAGACCCATTTTCAAATTACCCACATTTTTCAAATGAGCTAATAGCGTATTGAAACCTGTATTGTTCTCCACCGGAAGTGATTGTCGGATGTTGGCGATGTCATTCGCAATGCATGCAGGGAAAGAAAAGCTTGTCCATCGATCTAATTCGGAAAAAAAAAATATGTCTGGAACATAAAACATCCTTTGATGTAAATAGCGAAATTCTGCATTGAATCTGGCGATAAAAGCGGAATTACATGGCGCGCGCTGCAGAAGACTGAGAAAAAAAGAAAACAGAATGCAATGTGCAACATTGATATGGATTATGAAGGAAAAAAAATCTGAAATGGAAATAAAATATAATCATATATTCTTTTATATACCTGTTCGATTATTTAGTTTTAGATCGTTTTACATGATTACCTTCTTTAAAGATTTTTTCCTTTATCTGTCCCTTCATTAACTTTTATCTTTGCCAGAAGAATAAAAGATTACAAGAATAAAAGATTACAAGAATAAAAGATTACAAGAATAAAAGAATGCAAGTACAAAAGTATACAAGAAGAAAAGAAAAGATATCAAAAAGAATAAAGATGACATGGATTAAAGATGTCTTTAAAAAATACGGAGATCTCATACTCAAGTGTTCATGTAAATAAAGTTCGTATGCACAAATTTGTATAATAGATGCATGTATGGAAGTAGCTTTTGCATATGTGTAGAATTATGCAGAGAAAATGGAATATATCTATCTTCATCCATATATATATATATAAATATATACCAGAATTATATATTTCAGTATAACCTTTAATATAAAAGAATGTGAGCGCATACACACAGACGTACGCACGCACACACATCTTTCTTTCTCTATCTTTCTCTATCTCTATCTATATATAAAGCAACATTTATTAATTTTATAGATATAATGCATATTTAACATACACTCATACAGAAATATGAAAACGTGATCAGCCATTTTACAGGCATAATTGCTAGTATAGGTAGATGTATAGAACACGTATATTTTACATGTTGATGAATGATGGAATTGGAGTAGGTTACATATCAGGATCTATATCTTTTTTTCAATTGATTCAAAGAAGGTGATAATGCCACTAAGACGTTCATGCGAGTGAAAAAGAATAAATGGAACGGGAAACATAATACAACAGACAAAAACTACTTTTTCAAAAGACCTGGATAAATTAATACATATTAATAGTTATATGTTCACAAAACTTGAAGAGGACAATAAAACATCGCTTCCCAATCTGCACACACACACAGTGTGGCTAGACGTCCGATTGCTTCAAGCCGAGATCGGAACCCGACCGATTTGGCAGAGCGAAAGGGAAATTATAATGTTTTCTATACGAAATACGGAGAGCTCAATTCATTTGTCTGTGTATACATACATACATCTATCTATCTATCTATCTATCTATCTATTTATCTATCTATCTATCTATGTGTGTGTGTGTGTATTTGGTCAGCAATCTATCTTATATAGATCTTTCTTTATAGACGATTGACGCGGATGAATCCGAACTTCCACTGTCGATGACTACAAAACAGTAGATTTTTTCAAATTTTTCAAATTGGAATGGAACATCAGTTAAACATAAATTAAGTATTTTGGAAATGTATATATATATATATATAATATATATATATATATATATTTATATATATATATATATATATATATATATATATATATATATATATATATATATATATATAATGGGCAGCTGATCATTATTTAAAAATATATTGTTAAATATAAGAGATTAATGAATGTCTATTATGTTTGATCAAAGACAAAATTTTCCAAAAGTTTTATTGTCTTTATATATGTTTGAATGAATATATATATATATATATATATATATATATATATATATATATATATATATATATATATATGCGTGTGTGTTTGTGTGTGAAGAATGCTTTGTGTTCCATTAAAGCATTTGTCTATATAGACAATTTCATGTCTCCTTGAGCTCCAGAATGCCTTAAGCTCGATTTAAACATGTGTGTAGACGGTTATCACACTGTTTATATGATTACTTATATCCATATAGAAAGTATGGAGGCACGAGGAGACAGAAACAGAGAGACAATAATTTTTCTAAGAGTTTGTGGCAATTTCCCAGCCAGCACTGGTCAATGTTAAGTTATGAAATATATTTTTATGGTATGTCGGACCAGCTTAAGAATTTCGATTAACTCTCAAGTTGTCCATTTTTCTTTAAAAATTTTCATTGGAATCTCTTTCTCATAAATTACGCGTTCATATATTTGCGTAAATACATGTAAATTATGAATATAATTTAAATTGTACATGGATTTCGAAACAATTTATAAGTGGCTGTTCCTCTTTAGAACTAAGAATATACAAATTACAATGTAATGCATGAGCAAAAAGCGGTCATATTTCTAAATATGTCGACATGTTTGGGGCGAGCGTTTCCATTTAATTTACTGTTATAGAATATTAATTTCACTTCCTCTCCAGCTATTAGTGAGTGTGAGTGTGTTTATATAATGTGTGTCTCTAAGATTACTATAGTTATGTTTTTCTGAATGCAACTACTTTTCTTGATTAAATTCAAGAATTGATTCCCATTCATATGACGAATTCTGTAGCGAACACATCATTTTCAAAATTAATTTGTCAATGTGACATGCTGAATTTTTGATGGACTGAATTATAGATTTATTTATCATCACGGTCATTATCCTCACAGTCATATATATATATATATATATATATATATATATATATATATATATATATATATATATGATAAAATATAATCTTGAGGCATGCTATATTTATGAATTAAATTGTTCAATATCAGGGATAGTGCGTATGTAAATATAAAAGTAGACATTGAAGTTAAAACCCATAAGCGTCAGTCTGTTTCATACGCGATCGCAAAGCTACATTTGTTGACTTCTATGTTCACTTATTTATATATATAGCCTGACGTGCTTTTTAACCGATTAGGCCACATAAACAGTATTAAACAATTTTTATAGAAAATATTCGTACTCCGACAGGATTCGAACCTCTATAGAACCGTCATATGGCCGGACATGCCTTTTAACCGACTCGGCCAAAGAGGAACGTTCGGTTAACAGGATATTCTAGCCTGTAAATGTTCTTTAATACTATTTATTATAAACAGCATTTACTTAAATACTTTTATCTATAAAAGAATGTATAAACATAATATATATATATATATATGTATTATGTACACATATATATATATATCATATATATATATATATATATATATATATATATATATATATATATATATATATATATATATATATATTATGTGTCTGTGTGCATAAAGAAAAAAAGAATTATTCCAATATCATCTTTCCTAAAAGAATGAATACTCTCTCAAGCCAATGTACCCACCACATATATCAAGAAATCAAGAGAAAACGCTTGAATCCACCAACACAACAAAGCAATATTTTACACCTGATAATATTCTCTTCAAACATAAAATGGTTAACTTAATTTTCCAGTTGACCATATGAATACACAATAGCGTTTTTAAATTCTTCTAGTTGATAACGACATTTTGTTTATTGTTTTAAATATTTTTTCTATAAATTCATTTCGTTTTTTGTCTTGGAAACGTCGACATTGTACGAAACGCGTCCGCTAGAACTACAGTTTTCCTATTTTCTTTTTTTCCTTTATACATATTGTCTTTTTCTACAGGTTAATGCTGAGAAAGTTTTACGCACATACACTATATCTATCTATCTATCTATCTATCTATCTATCTATCTATCTATCTATCTATCTATCTGTGTGTGTGTGTGTGTGTTTGTGTTTGTGATATTCCAGATAGAAAATAGTCTCGCATGACACATTGAATCATGTTTCATAGCAGCTAACCTAGCAATGGATTCAATATAATTTTTCCACACCATGTCAGCCGAGAATTTTATCCAGAGAAGGTGTAACGAGTCGCTCTCTTAGAGGTTAGCGTAAGATCAAAGGCAGTCTCTCAGATGATTAATAGAGAGCAGTTTTGTTTTAGAGGCGTTGAAATTAGCAAACCATCCTTTGCCGCAGTTAACAACAGAGTGAATGTCGTTTTGTGCATCAGCGACCAATTTGACACGAATTGATGAAGAGAAGACAGGAGAAAATGGTTGTGCATCAGTGAAGTGAACAACATGAGAACTGATTCGTCCGGTGGGTTTGTCATTAATGAAAATGAAAAAAGAAATATTTACAAGGATAGAGCCTTAGTGGACACCTGAATTAATACGAAATCATCTAGAAGACTGGCAGTTCAGGATAACTTTCATTTCAAGATTCGATAAGAAAGATGGACCACTTCAAAAATTTCTCCGGTGACAACGTAAATTTTTAGCTTATAGAGAAGACCTGTATGTTAAACCCAGTCGAAAGCTTTCGAGATGTTCAAAGCTACAGCCCTAAATCACCATTTTTCTCTAGAGCTTGTTAGATTCTTTCCGAAATTAACGTCACTGCGTCATAATTTCACCTGGAGAAACGAAAGCCATATTGCCTGTCTGTAAAAAGGTCATGCAATGTCAGATGCTTAACCAATTCAAAGCCTCTCCAGAAAAACGTAGAAGGTTAATAGGCCGAAATATGGAAAGGTTTGCCGGTTCGCCGGAGTTCTTAAAAATTGGAACAACAGTTAAGAACTTCCAGCAGGTAGGAATGCAAGTGACAGCGAGGCATTTATTATACGGTTGAGAGTGAACAGTTGGGGACACAGTCTTAAAGGTTGTTAAGGAGTGTGTCACCGGGCCCACGTGCTTTGTGGTGATCCAGGTTAGAGATAATGGCAGAAACCATATAAAAGTTGTCAATTAATCGACACCTTATATTTATTGGATTATATTCTAATCTATCTATCTATCTATCTATCTATCTATCTATCTATCTATCTATCTATCTATCTATCTATCTATCTCAGTCTATTTCATTTATTCTCTCTATCTATCTGTCTATCTATCTCAGTCTATTTCGATATATCTGTTTCAGTCTGTTTCTATCTATGCGTATCTATCTCAAAATATATAGTAATAAGACTCGAATTTCAAACGTAATACTCTACAATACGCATAGATATATAAAATTGCTTAATGAATAAAACTCAGTATACATATGTGGATAAAATAATGAATCAATTACAATCCATCCATCTATCTATCTATCTATCTATCTATCTATCTATCTATCACTATTTTTGATCATAACATATTCATCAGCGCATGCACACATGCGCACGCGGACTAACATACCCTCACATCCAAACACCCCCCCCACACATATATACACACACACAAACATATATATATATATATATATATATATATATATGTATATATATATATATACCTGCACACACGTATGTATACCGTACAAATATATATGGGTTCGTACGTTCTTATGTGTGGTTGCAAGAAAGTAGAGGCGCTTTTTCTTGGATGGCAAATATTCTATAGTGCACTTTGTTTTTTCTCCTTTTTGCAATTTACAACGGCGCTTGTGTAGGAAATTTTTATTAAAAAGGAAGACCTCTAATGACAGGAAAGCCGACACTTACATCATTCTCGAAAAAGAAGAGTCTAAAAAAAAGAGAGATTCTATTGCAGACACACACACACACACACACACACTGTCGGAAATGGGAAAACACACACTTTTATATATTCTCTCTTTCTAGCCATGAGTACATGCACTTGGATAAATTACGTTGCTTTCTAAGCCAATAAAAAGAAGAAAAAATAATTGGAAAAAATCCAGAGACAGAAACCAACTCATATATTCACCTCCAAATTACGAATGCAGAATTATAAAAGAAATACATGAATCAATATATATATATATGTGTGTGTGTGGCGCACGCGCGTGGTTGCGTGTCTATGTACTAACATGTGTGTGTAAGGTACGCTGAAATGTTATCTGCTGAGACTACTTCCCAAATAAGTATTTCAGTGATCAAAGATCCAAATACAATATTTGGAATGAACACACACACGCATATATATATATATATATATATATATATATATATATATATATATATATATATATATATATATATGGTGTGTGTGTGTGTGCGATGTCGTTAAAATTATACGAAAATGAAAATAACTCTAACATTTACCAAAATTACACAAAATATGTTGAAATTCGAACAAGTTTATTCAATAAAATCACCATCGGCATCTACCACAACCTCCAGACGACTTCGGAATCTCTTTCAACTCTTCTGGACGGTCTTTTTGTTTAATTGTTGCCTTCAGTTCATCTTCGTTGTTAATCGGAGTATTGTTGGGATCTCTCTCATTCTTGCTCTCCGCATAATAATCTACGATGTTGCAGGTTGGGAAATTAGGAAGCCTGATGTATGGGGTGATATGGTAGTAGAAATTGTCTGACAGCCATGACTGGGTTCTCCTGCTTGTGTGACATAGTGCAGATTCTTGTTGGCAGACATAGTTTCTTCCAGCAGCCAACCTATTGACCCAGGACCTCCTCAAAGAACTTAATGTAGACATCCGTGTTGAGTCTGCTCCAACAAAATCGAAAGTTCTTTTCTTATTAGAAAGATCAATGTGAGTTTTCCTTTATGCCGTACCTTCGTAATCACCATTAGACTCGTTCAACTCTTTCCGAATCCTCCACAGTTTCCTCAGATTGATACCTAAAGACTCTGAAATATTTGTATTGGAGTTTCTGGCGCGAATATTAAGCAGTACAGTATGTCATTTACACATTTCTAGCGGAGTGAAATGCATCATGCAGTTCTTTTTTCTCACAGACGATGTCCAACTGACCCTACTATACTGTGTAGTCGACAAAGTCAAAAAACGCGCCTGCAAGAAATTAAAAATATGAAATGGCAACAATTTACAAATACGACAAGAAGGGAAGAATTATGCTAAAAGCTTTTGTCTTAATTAAGTTTCTGTCAGGGTAGTTAGAAAATTTTTCTCTGTAAATAAAATAGAAAACTGTATTTAAACATGTATCAATATGGTCATTTAGTTTCGCGTTTCATTGATAATGTCATTAAGCTTATCAGACGATATGAACTTATAAATAAACTAATAAATAGACAAAACTTGTCTATATTATTTAATATATATATATATATATATATATGAGTAATCTTCCATATTCCAGCTATCGCAGTGAGCACATTGAGTAAGAGGATGGGACAAATTTGTAAGTGTGGGCCAGAAAAACAACAATTGCTCTGAGTCAGTGACCAGCGTCTTAAAGTCATTATCATATTCCAATAAACCGCTTCGTGTGTAACAGAGAGGTGTAAAATTTTTGGCTGGAATCCCAGGATCAGAATCTCGTCATTTATGCCGCTTTCTGCCTGAAGACAAAAACGCAGTGCTGCATTCTACCTGAATGTAAACAGTGCCGTGAAACAAAAATTTTACTTGGATCGCAGCCCAAAGTAGGAGTCAGTAAGCAAAATTGACTAGGGGCAGAGAAAAAAAAAAGCAAAGAAAAGATCACTGTAGACAGAAGTGCCGATTTATATATACGAATCCCGTATTAGGCATTATCGACATGTAGTATGCTCATATTAAATACATTATTAGAAATATACATGCATACATACATACATATCTATCTATCTATCTATCTATCTATCTATCTATCTATCTATCTATCTATGTTTCTGTGTGTGCGTGTACATGTGCGCACGCGCGTTCGGACTTCCGGCTGTTTGCGAATTGGGTAGTTGGTTGATTGGTTGATTTTACGACATCTCAAACATTGAGTGTAAAAAATGCTTTCAAGGGAACATAAGAATAAAATCCTAAACACACATGCACACATATATGAAGGTGTATAAAAATGTCATATCGTTCAAAGTTTATAGGAATTATCAAAATATCCTTTTTCTTTGATATAATCTCCATTGTTCCTGAACATTCAGCATGCGTGGCTTTTGAAAAAGGCGATGATTCGGAGGAAGCATCAATTTGCGTATGGCAAAGAAAACACAAAGGAATCTTGTACGATGCCGGGGTAACTACAATCATTTAATGGTGGAATACTGCCATTCAGAAAGCGGGAAATTATTTCGAAGACGTTATATGGAACTTTAAACTGTTGTATTCATTGCATGCATTCGTATGAATCTTCTATCACAAATAATATAATTAATGAACAGATACTATTTTGAAATGAGCCACTTCCTCTCTCTTACTCTCTCTCTCTCACGCACGCATGTTTATATATATATATATATATATATATATATATATATATATATATATATATTAAGGGAATGTTAGTTGACGTTTCCATATCAAGGGATATGGATGAGCTTATAGTTTTGAATTTGGGAATGTAATGTCTTGAAAAGCTCTTCAATTCTGTACAGTTGGTACTTCTCAATTAGTAATGTATTCTTACCATGAACTTTTCTGTAAATATTTTCGAATATTCGAAATGATCTCTCCTATTCGGTACATTGATCGCATTAATTTATGCATACTCTTGGATTGGCAGCCAGGTTTTATCGTTTTACTGTTGAAATAGATGTAACCATGGATTCTATTTTAATCGTTACTTCTCTCCCACTACTTACCCGTGGAACTCTCAATTCTGTTTCGTTCTTCCCTCTTACCAACGAACTTCAAACAAATTGTCTGAATTCATCTTGCTCACTTATCAATCTTCCATTCGTTCGTCCATTGAATATTTCTATCATATCTGCTCTGGGGCTCCGGTTATATATCACACGATTGTCGACAAAATCCGAAGAAGTGTCTGTAATATTATCAATCCTGATCTGACATCTCAACTTTAGACATTTTTCCACTGCCGTGGCGTGCCTTCCTTGTGTCTTTTCTATAAATACTCTAATAGTAATTGTTCTAATGAACTTTCTTCCATCTTAACTTGATCACATAAATTTAAGATTTGACAATTGTGTCTTCTCGCCTATGGTTCTATTGTCTGGTTTATTCTTTCCCTGTCACAAACAATCTTCAAAAATTTAAATGTAATGATAATCACTGTATTTCTTCTTGAATCCTATTCTTTTATTGTCCTCTCTCCTGACTAAATTTTTCTCTGTTATTCTCGGTATCACCAGGCGTCTTAATGACATTATCGCCTTGCTTGGAGTGAAAGGATTCAAAATAACTGCTTAAGTACATTCACATCGTTCACTATTTATATTATTCGGACTATTGTCCTCATATTTGTTACCATATTTATCACAACGTTTCGCCCTTATCCACTGTGCCATGTGTCCTTAAGGACATATGGCACAGTAGTCAGTGGCTGTTAAAGTTAGAGTGAAATCTGGTTCGTTACGCTTTAGTATTCATTTTTAGAAATAAACAGCAGATTAATATAAAGTAGAGTAAGTAGATCACTGCATATGTTTACCATATACCGTTTTATAAATCATAAAAATACACACAAGAATACTGGACACACCGTCATGCTACTATAGCATATTAAGGACAAAAATCGCGTCCGTTGAATCTTGTAAAATTTCAACCCAGGTCTCCAAGTGATACAAAATTATTGAATATCTCTTCAGCTTTAGGAGAAAACATTACTATATATTAATCAGAACAACTTAACTTTAAGCATCAAATCAAAATAATGTAAATATCCTTACATGATTACAATAAAATATTGTGAGGGAAAATGAATCAGAAAAAATGTACGAAAAGCAAGCTTCTCATTAAAGTTGAACAAACAAAAAATCTGTTTTTACTTTACCCGTATTTACTTTCAGTTACGTCATTTTATTATGTAATTTCCAGTCGGTTAATGAGAGGCAGTGTTTTGAAGTATTCTTAAATATGATGGATTGGCTGGTACCGACCAGTGAAATCGGTAATTTGATACGTTATTTCATTTGATGCTGTTGCTGCTGCTGCTGCTACTACTACTACTACTACTACTACTATTACTACTACTAATAATAAACTACCAAAATACAAGGATCTTGTAGTGGAAATTTAAAAAATGTGGCATATGAGGACATCAATAATTCCAGGTGTAGATTGATTGGAAAGTATTCCGATAGGCACATTCAAGGGATTGCTGGTGGCCATGCCTTAAAGAAATACAAAAACATGTGCTCACAATTGCAGCTCACACATTACGAAGAGCTTTATCTATGTAAAATATGTGTGATCTTAGGTTGTTTTTTTTTTTTAACCATGAAATATCAGTGGGTAATGACATGAAG